TGCTGCGTGCCGCGAGGCCGGGAGCGAGGACCTCGGTCGTCTCCCGCACGGACAGACGGTCGGGGGCGGGATGTTGCACCTGTCAAGGGCGTCGGCCCCGCGCCGTCCCCGTGAGCGCCCGCGTGCTCGCGTTTCGTGCATCGGTTAAACTGGAGTAACGGAAGGTGACCTTTGCGTGATTTAAAGCTCTCCCCAGTCAAAACGGAAGGGCCCGCGCTCGCTGTGCCACGCCTGCCCCGGGGGCCAGCACCTTGTCCCTCACCGTCCGTGCGGCCCGGGCCGGGGCTGTGCCCGGCTGCAGGCGGCGGCGTCCCGGGGCAGGCGGGTTTCAGCCCGGGTCCCCCGCGATGTGCCCACGCGCGCCGGGGTTCCGGGGCCCTCGGGTGAGCTCGCCCTTGAGGAGGCCCTGACCTCGGGCGCCACGCTCGCCCTGAGAGAGGTTCGGGGTCACACGAGTCCGGGAGCCTTGGTCTCGCTTCTGCGGCGCTGTGCTGCGTCGTGCGGGGACACCAGGCGCCCGACCGCTGCGGGCTGCGAGGAGCCCCGACCTCTGGGTGCGCAGGCCCCCTCCCCGCCCGCCTCGGGCCGCCCCCGGGCCCGCGCCCGCTGTCTCCTCACCGATTCCGAAGGCGGAGGGCTTTCCCTGCGCCCGCCCTCCTGCTCACTAACGCGGCCCGCGCCCCGGCCCTTCGGGCTGAGCACGAGGTACCGTGGGTCAAGTACCGGCACATCCCACTGAAACTCCCAGCGTGCGGCCAGCGAGCCAGCAGGGCCACAAAGGCGCGTGCTCAGCGGAGCAGCAGCCCCGCGCGTGAGCTGAAGGGGCGGAGGAGGTGGCGCGCGCCGGTCATCCCAGCCGCTTGGGAGGCTGAGGCAGGGGGACTGAGTTGGAGGCCAGCGCGGGCAAGCGATTTAGGGAACCCTGTCTCTAAGAAAACTGGCTGTGGTTGGACCCTGGGGCCTCAAGGATGCCCGGCAAAGTGCAGTCGCACCCGGCTCTGACACATCCCCATTGAGACTGCCGCGCTTCCTCTAAGTTCTTCCGTCAT